AAGATTAGGATAAGAAATAGAATAAAAATTGAGATAACATAAGGATGATATTAAAAGATGTATGGATGAAATTAAGAAGAAAGAAGAATAACATTATATAGAGTTGTAAGAAAAAGATTAAAAACTAATGCTCTTGCAGAATAATTTTAATGAAGAAAATAACAAAATATAATCTTAATTGTAAGAATAATAATCTGAGAATAGAAAATAAAGAAATGAGTTTAAATAAAAATTTGAAGAGCAGAATAAAATTATTATTGAATTGTAAAAAGATCAAATTGAAAGTAATAATTAAATAGAGTTCTTATAAATTTAGAATCAGCAAATTATTTAAGATTTAGAATCAAATAATGACTAATTAGAATGTGCAAAATAGGAGATTTAAGAGATGATAAAGAAGGATAAAATGCAGAATGATGAAATAGGAAAATAAATCAGTTTTTTAAATAATGAAAAAAATTAATTATAAGTTTAACTCGAAGAATATAAATTTAAATAAAAAACATTAAAACAGAGAATTATTAGAACTTTAAGCAGATAAAAGGAATTAACAACTATCTAACTTATAGAATTAAAGAATACACTCCTAAATAAATATAAGTAATTAGAAAGTGATTGTAAATTAATAATACAAAATCTATATAAAAAATAGCTGATGATAACAGAAAATAAATTGCAGATGATAGAAAATGATAAACTATTTGAAATAGAGTAATTGAATTTAGAAATGGAAAAAAAATTAGATAATTTGAAGAAGCAATTTAAGCAATCAGAATAATTAATTTATGAAGAAGGTTAAATTAAATTAAAATAAAAATAATAGTAAATAGAATAATTGATAATGTCTAAAGCTAATGATAATGAATTTAAAACTTAAATTTCATTACTAAATAAAGAAAATGAGGAGTTCTAAAAACAATTGTAATTACAAGAATAACTATTCATTGAATAAAAGTAAAATTATGAACTAGAACTAATGAACCTAAATAAACTTATTAAAGAATAATAGGAAGAACTGTATTTTATTTTAATATTTTAGAATATCTTAGTAGTAATTCTCTGAATATACAATGAATAAAGAGAGATAATATTTTGAATAGAGATACTAAGAGTTAAAACTTAGATAAGATAAAAAAGTAGATTAAATTTAATAGGATTACTAACTGTAAATCACTCAACTAGAAAATATCATTCAACAGCCTACTAAAATGAAATCTTAATCTCCAAATAGAAATACATAAAAATCACCCATTTAAAATAGATAAACTACATAATTGAGTAATATTTTAATATTATTATTAAGGCAATAAATCTTAAAGCTTTGGAAGCCCTAATATTAATACAGGTATAAAAACTCCAAATAAAACTGTGATTTAGATTGATAATACAGACAAAACCATAGAAGATTTAAGATTAGAAATATAATAACAAAAGGAAAAACTAAGCCGAATGAAATTGACATTTACTGAGAGCCAAAAAAAGCCATATAAAAGAAACTGATTACTCTACTTTTTTGTGATTCTATATAGTTTCATTATAAATATTTATAGCCAAACTAAGAAACTAAATTCTATGATAAATTATTCAAATTAATTTATATAATGATTGGTATTGGAAATCATCATAAAATTACTTCATCCTATTCTGTCTTTCTTTATTTCATTTAGAGTAAAATGAAATCGGATCTCTTGTATGATGGTGCTGTTTCAATTTCTCTGAGTTTTAAAGGACCTTTTTTGATCAATAACTACATATAAGAAACCAAAATTACTTATTCTTAATCTTCTGTTTCTTCTAATTGAGGAACTTCAACCGGTTATTGATATTCAGGAGGCAATGAGCTTGAGTCTCCTCCAACAATGTGTATCTCCTCTTCTGATTCTTCTCTATGTTCAGGAGGTAATGAGCTTTCATCGTCGCCTACAATAAGTGGCTCTTCTGGCTCATCTCTGTATTAAGGAGGTAGGGAGCTTTAATCTCCGCCGACAATATGGGGTTCCTCTGGTTCATCTCTATATTAAGGAGGCAATGAATTCTTATCTCCACCAACACTTATATGATCATTTCTTTCTTGCTAATTGATAATATTAAATCATTACTGTCAAAGCTTCTTTTTCTTCATCGGTTGTTTTGTTGTCAATTTCTTTATCATATAATTCATATAATTATGAGAAGATAGCTAATTGTTTTAGTAACCTTGAATGTTCGTCAACATAATCGTTATAGGCTAGTACACTATCATTTTTTGCTACTTCAATAGCTCTTTCAATATCCTATACTCTTTCTCTGCACTATTGGGCACTGTATTCTAAAGCGAGCAATTAGTCACCTAAGTTTTCCTAATAAAGTTAGATAAATTGAATTTACTAATTGTTTTCCTAATTCAACAATCTTTTATTCGAAGAATTCATTTTCTTTGAGGATTCTTTACTTCCATTCAAGATAAGCTAAACCAACTCTGATCATATCAGCTTGTGCAACTGGAATATGAGAATTGATATGAGCCTCTAATTCATCCAAAACTGCTAAGATTTCATTTCTAACTTCTTAGAATTTCTTCATTTCAATTGGGCCCATATGAGTTTCAATCATATTAGGATTTTCCTCTCTTTCAATTTCCATTGTTCTTGTTAATTCCAAAAATTCATATTTTTACTCCTTAATGTCTTGAAGGAATGAGAGGATATTTTTCATAGCCTATGATTTTTATGCAAATGAGGTGCCTTCAGATACAATTTTTTCAAGTTATTCTTTAACAAATACTGAGACTGTTAATGAAATTTTGTCATCTCTGACAGTGTCAACAAAGTTCAAAGATTGTCTACATTATAGATCTTCAATAGTTTGAATTCTATTTTTATTGACGTGAATTCTGTGTTCGATCCATGCAATTAAATCAGACATTTCTTAGATTTCTGTTTTTTTATTGATTACATTCTCATCTCTTCTATCACAATCAGCCTCTTGATCAGTCTTTGTTTATCTTAATGCCTAAATACTTGCTTGTTTCATCTTTATCATATTTAATAATCAATACTTTTTATGTTAACACCCATTCAGCATCTAAAGCTAAGATTTGCTCATGAATTTCATCCTTCAGTTCTAAAAGTAATTCTTGCACATGCTTAATATCATTATGTGTGAGAACAACACATGCCAACAATGCAAAAAGCACTATTTATTTCATCTATTTAATATAATAAAAACGGGTAATTAATATTTTATATAGATTTTAATTTGATATCTAGAAGTATTTCCATTTTTATCATAAATCTCATTTACTTTAGAGCACCAATCTCCTCCGCATGTAAAACCTAGTTTTATATATATTTATTTAAATTAATAATCTTGAATGTCATCAAATATTTAAAATAAGATTAACATATACATTATTATAAAATTAAGTTTTAAACCACAATAATTGATTATCTAATAACCAATATTTATTATAATGAACATCATCTTTAAACTAATCAAGTATCTTTTAGCATGTGTTACCATGCTATTTGAAAAGAATCGTAGAAGATAACAGTTTTTAAGAATAATTGAAAAAGAAGAGAACTATGAGAAATGGCAGCAATTAGTGAAGGAACATGATTAATAAGATTATATATAATAGTGGTTATAAAAGGAGGAATCCAATTTATACCAATACAAATACATTAAGAGTTTGAGTCAAAAGTTGAGAATGGCAAAATAAGAAAAAAATATCCCTCTAATTTGCTAGCTGCTGAGATAAAATGCCAATAGAAATATCGGGAACATCCTTAATCCAAAACTCTATTCTCACGCTTTCACAAAAACAAAGAATTTAATAGAAGAATTTTAAGAAGTAAATTATTCTTAAACTATTCTTAGGAATATGAAAAATGTTTGGAATTTTTATTCAACTCGGAATTTCCAAATAAAACTCAATTTTTCCAAGAATTACAAAAGGCAATTGGACAAACTGCATTGTTATTTTCAGGTGGAGCAATCATGGGATTGTATAGTTGTGGAATAGCCAATATTTTAGATAAACTGCATCTTTTACCTAAAGTAATGACTGGCAGTTCAGCAGGGGCTATATTAGTCAGCTTAGTTGGAACTGCTACAGATATTCAAACAATTTTTTAACCAAAATATTATGATTACTCTATGTTTGAACAGAAGACCTAATTTGACATTCTCGACAAGTTAAGCAGATTGTTAACAAAAGGTTACATGTTAGAGAAAGAACAAATGAAACAATTTTTACAGAAAGCCTATGGAGATGTCACATTTTTGGAAGCCTATAAGAAAACAGGAAGAATTATGAACATTATGGTTACTGGAAAGGATTGCTCATCATCTGATTGTTTGCTAAATTATATTAACTCTCCTAATGTAATAGTGTGGTCAGCAGTTTGCTGTTCTTGTTCACTACCTGGAGTTTATGGAGCCTCTCATTTATATTACAAAAATGAAGAAGGGGAAATCTTTGAAGGAGAAATCAAATATGTAGATGGATCAATAAGTGCTGATCTACCTATGTAATAATTAGCAGAACAATTTAACATCAATTATACAATTGTATCACAAACTAATCCTTGGGTTTTCCCCTTTCTTACTTCACATCGAAGTGATCATAATATCATTCATAAGATTACTGATAAATTAGTACAATTTATTTTAGGAGAAATTAAATATCGAATTCAATAAATTATGAGTATTGGATTTCTTCCAAAAATGATTTGTAGAATGTCTAATTTATTGATACAAAAGTACGAAGGAAATATAACTATTTGGCCGAAATTCTTATGGTTGGATTATTCAAAACTTTTAGATAATCCCGATGAATATACTGTATAGAGAATGAAAGTCGAAGGTCAAAGGAGAACTTATGAAAGTACATTTTTAGTTTATTTTAGAATTACACTTTATACATGCAGCTACTCGATTGGAGCGATGCTTATCAAAATACTTAAATTGATTAATTTATTCTTATAATTTGTAATTGTTTATTTTAATAACTTATTTTAATGTCATTAGGAGTTGATTTTGAGTAATACTAATTTGATAGAAGACTTAAAGAATTACAAGATAGAGTCTTCACCTTAAATCATAGAGCACCATAAGGTTATAACTTTTAAGGTATGCCACCAAGGGAACCTCAACACTTAAATAATTAAATATTCTATAATCCTTCTGGTTATCCTTTATAATAGCCATAAACATTTGTACCTTATATGCAGAATTTTAATCCATACTAATAATAGTACATGCTCGATGAAAAGAGCTTATAAAAGAAAAAGGAAGAAAAAGAAGAAAAAGAAAGAAAAAAAAATGAATAGAGATAACTAGAATTAAAACAATTAGAAGAGCAATTAATAAAAAAATAAGAATTGATGATATCTAACATGAAGAAGGATATCTTAGATTATATAGATCCCTATATCTATGGGTAATATCATAATTACTATAATTACTCTCAATAGTAACAAAATTACTTACAGTAATAAAATTAAAACTTCCCCATTCAACATCAGAATCAAGTTCCTATATATTCTCAGAGTCCTCCCCCAATAAATATTTAACCGTCTTAATACATGTAATAATATTAAAATCCTTACGTTGCTTAAAATTTGAATGGAATACCTTAGCAAATCAATAACTCTTAGTTCTCCAAAGTTGGATAGTAGTCAATGTAGAAGATTGATAATTTATTAACCGGAATTTGAATCATATTGATTTATCTACTGAATTTATAATGTTAGCATAAAGATTAATATAGATCATTATAAAAAAATAGTACTTTCATTAGGAATAAGTCGCTTATATTCCTTTATTTTCTTGATTTTAATTGATGATGATGATGTATCCATAATGATTGATTATGTTTTTCCAATTATTGTAGTTTCACTACTTTTCTTTTTTTTGATCTTTTTGTTTATCCTATTCTTGCTCTAACATAAACCTTTTGGAGTAAGTGTCTCTTCATTTTCTGATTGTAGTTTTTAAATATTTATGAAATCTAATGGAATGTTTTAAATTAGTTTTCTTTTGCTTTCAAGTAACATCTCAAAGATCGATTATTAATACATGTTATCTAAGTTACCTCCAATTTCCAAAAAGGTTCTCTTCAATTTGTAAATAGAATCAGTTCTTTAGCATCTAATACATGTGCATAACCCCTTAAATAGCATAAAATTGCATACCTTGCATAAAGGGCAAATCCAGTTGGGCTCAGAAAGATCATATTAATCAAATTCATACTTCAAGCATTTAAAACAAAAATATTTTTAACACTGGATTTAATTATCTTATAATAAATATTTGTATTTACTTTCTATAATATAATTAGCAGAATAAAGATCTATGTAAAATTATTGCATTTATTTTTAGGTAATTGCATATCTCTATTAGATCAGTATTTCCTCATTGTATTAATGTAAATTCATATTTACATGATTGTATTTACATTATTATAAATTGGTTATTTCTATCATTTATCTACAACTATGACACATTTCAGTTTTAATCGAAACCATAGTTTATGCCTCTTCTTATATTTCCTATTACTAAACGCTTAACTCTAATTGCACTTCTCGAAGTCTTTAGAAATTTTGAAATTAATCCAGTTTTAAATCTATAGGAGTTCTGCTTAAAAATGAATCGAAAGTAACCGTCACAAGGTTTGCTATTTGATTTACATAAATTTTTACTTTCTGGATTATATATGGCCTTTCCCATAGACTCTGCTGCTTAATAATCTTAATAATGTATGATCAATTTTTCTAGATTCTCTAATTCGTTCTATTGATGTTGAACTCGGTTTCTCGAAATTCTTAATGTAAATTAACCGATTTGTTTAATGCTATATTCATATAGTAATTATTTATTGATTTCTTCCAAATGTCCTGCAAGACTAAAACTTAAGAAAAAACATACTTATTAAGTTATTTGATATTCTTGTCTTAAACTCTTATCAAATCATCTTCCAATTCCATTATCACTTATTCCAATTGATCAGGCCAAACTATCTATTGCTGTATACATTATAATATTTGCGCTTCTTATTATAAAATCTCCATTTATTTTTCTAAAGGTAATTAATGCATGTTTTTGAGCAACGCCTTATTTGATACCAATCCGTCTCTTAATTCTTACTCGCAAATCTTATCAATCATTTCATCTATTAATTCTTGAATTGGCTCGAATGATTTTTCTCTTTACATTAACATTAAACTTAAATGCACCCTCAAGTTATTGTCGTTTAACTTTTGAAGCTGGGATCTATTTTTTTTGAAGGGTTTCAATATTTTTTCTATCAATCCTTAAGTTTATATACTTACAAGATGAGAAGCTAAAACTAACATTAACACCTACATTTTTTGTATAATTTTTTTTAAACATTCAACGAGATTGGTGTTTCGACCATAAAATATTATTGATTCACTTATCTCCAAAAATCTGACGTAAAAAGAGATTCAACATTTTTATCCATTTTTAATATTAATTTTTACAATTAATAAAATGCCCTCATAAAATCTATAAAATCAACCTCATTAATAATAAAAATTCAATTATCCTCAGAATAAACGTATAATAATATGATTATGCCTCCATTTATTTGCTAAATAATTAGATAGAAAAGTAAAAAATTATAATTATCAAATTTTCGTATTTACTGTTTAAGAAGTACTGGATGATAAATTAAGAAATCCTTAAATAAAGATTATTCTTTCTCGAATAGCCTACTAGACACAATTTTAAAGCGATTACAAGCAATATATTTAACAAAGGATGCAATTATGATATTGTATTATTTCTTATTGTAAACATCCACTATTTTAGGTGATTTATTTAATAGCACTAGATAATGTTAATAACTTTAGCTTCTTAAGTAATTTAACTTAAGAAAGAATAATCAAAATCATATATTTTGATCAATTTTTTACTATAAAATAGATAAGGTTGCTAAAATCTTTGTCAAAAATTAAGAATACTAACAGATGAAAATAAATATATAATTATTTCTCTCTTCTCTATGTCAATTTTTTTAAATAAAACTAATTTTTCAATCTATGAATAGTTAGAGCTACATAATTTCAAAATTAATAAATGTTATATATTAAAATTGTTGGTTTAAATTATTGTTATATCTATTGAGATTAGAATATGATTTTTATTTATTAAACATTTTCTATTTAATCATCAGTTCAATTGTAATATTTTTATTGTTTTCTATTTAAAAATTTATCTGTTAAACATGAATTAATCAGCCCCTAAAAGATCATCAAGTTTTGGCAAATCATTCAACTTTCCATCAGAAACCTCTTCAAAAGAATCAAATGCATCTATCTACTTAACTGAAACAAAGACCAAAAAAATTGACAGATCAATTAATGTTCCTTTAAATAGTTTGAGAGAGATGTCATTAGTTGAATTGCTTAATGAAGCAATTCAATTGTTACAAGAAAACAAATCTAATATTATTGACTAATAAAAAGTGTAATTAGCATTAATATCTAGTTTAAGAGATTGATTACACAATATGAAAATTTTTAACAAACGAACGAAAAAAAGCAGATTCTCTTCTAAAGAAGGTCAAAAATTATTAAAAGTAACATAGAAAATATCATATCATCATAAAACGACTTTTAAAACTACTTATAAGGAGTAAAGAAATTATGACATAAATAATTATTTTTATGATCAAACTTTGAATATTTAGTGATAAGAAATTATTTTCATCCCCTAATATATAGAGCATGATTCTTTTTTATTATTATTTCTTCGAAGCTCATTTCATAGATTACTTTAGAATGAGTATAAATTCATCTAAGGAATAATATGATAAAATTAATCATTAATAAGCAGAATGAATATTTTTTTAATTCAAAGCTATCCTTTTATGATAGCTTTTATTAATATTTTCGTAAAATATTATTCAAATCAAACTACAGTTTCATCCTTCTAAAAACTGAAAAGATTTACAACCTGGATCACTTGAACCCTTTTGGCAAAATTTATTGTGTAAAAGTTTTTCCTTTCTCGAGGATGTGTGGAACAAATCTCTTGCAAAGAATCCTCTGACAGAAAATCATAATCAATTTCTTCATCCTAAAATTGATCTTTCAATCTTTTTATAGGTTCAAATTATTCTACAATAGAAAAATTGAATTTTATGAACTCCAAAATACAAGTTTTAATTGTTTCTTCATTTATTGGTTGATCAAGTGGAAACTCTTCATAAATTGGTTTAAGTTCCTATGCTTTTCGATCATTTTATAATTTTCTCTCTTTAATTTACCTCCCCAATTCTCTTTACTTATTTTTAATCTATTCCTATCTTTGATATTGTTCTTTTAATGCTTCTGAATCATAAAATTTAATTATATTTCCATTATTGGTCTTTGGAAATTCAGACACTTTAGATATTTTCAACTTCTTAACTTCGTCAACCAAACTTTCTATGCATCTCTGAGTATAATTTTTTTCATGAATTTCTTTCATCTAATAATAGTTATATTTCGGGATTTCGAATGGCTCCTAAAAGACTAAATATTTGATGATTAATTTACATTTTTTGATTGGTTAATCTAGCAAGAGACCCTTTTTATTGCAATATTTGACATAATCGTAAATATCATTATAATGATGAATCTCTAAGTATTCTAATAATTTTGGATGTGGAACACATTTCCAAAATATTGGATCATTTTCTATTTATTCTAAATAAACTTCTTTTAACGAGACTTGTTTTCCTCTTGTTTTAAAGCTACTTCTAAATTGAGATATATATTAAAAATCTTCTTCCCAAGAATCTTCATCATTTTGGATAGGGTTTTTTCTAACCTTTTTTGATGTTCGAGGTTCTGACTCTTACTCCATCTCCGAAAAATCCAAAAATGAGTTCGACTCATTAGTTTAAATCATTATTTAATAAGAAAACCTTTTCCCAACTAATCATTAAATGAAAATCCTTATTATTTTTTGTAATAATATTTATTTGATTTAGGAGAGACATTTTAAGAAATAAATGCATAACAATATACATATCTATTTTATAAGTTTGATTAACTTAAATGTAATTAATTTTGAAATGAAATTAAGTTCAAAATTAATAATTTAAAGAGATCTAAATGTATCATTTTTTATGTCAAAAATTCTTTAGATATGACAGATTTAATAATAACTGACCAACTTGTAATCAGATATTGAAAAATAAATTAAAATTAAAATTCTCATTATTAAACTTTAAAACCTTCTTTATCATATTTATCAATAAGATGGATTAAAATACCTGAATCCTAATTGTCTCTAATATTCAAATTGAATTATTATGTGTTTAATAAACTATTAACTATCATTTGTGAGCATTCATAGAACTACTGCACAAAAAAATGAACAAACAAATCACAAGACTCATTCTAATTCAAAGTAAATGAAAATAATTATAATTTGAATATTTTATATTATGAATTATGTTTTGTTTCATTATACCATATCAAAATCATCTTCATTATTGTTTTGCTGTTTCCATAATTGATCCCAGAGATCATCTTGTCTCTGCAACTTAAGATTATTGAATTAATCTATGAGGCAATTATCCTATTGAACTTAACTATTGTTAATTGGCATTTCAATGGCCATGTTATTTTGATTTTTCAATCCCCAGTTAGGATCTCCTTACAGATATTGGTTTTCCGTATTGTTCTGCTCTAATTGGATGGGAACATCGGGTTCTTTTTTGTCAGGACAAGTGATTATGTGTTGTTCCATGTCCTAGATTAGATTATTAAATACTTCTCCTCTAAATATATGCAGGAAATTGTAGGGACAGTGTCTATACATGTGCTTGTTCATTTTGCGCTCTTGGCACTCCCTGGAGATGTGGAAGATGAGCCTATTGGGAGCCATCTTGTGCAAATTATTGAAGGGACAACAAACTTGTTACTATTATTACATAGAGTAGGCTAAAATATAATCACCCACTTTATAATGAAATATTAATGGGATTTTATAATTAATAATTATTTTTTAAAACGGATAAAATGAGAACAAAACATCTAGTTTTAATAGGTGTTATTATAATGCAAGGTATGACATCTTTAAAAACTGTTTAGTTTGCTTTGTGTAAGCATTGCACTATGATTTGACAACACTTCTGGATTAACAAAATGAAGTTGACTGCGAGAATACAGATTTTGTATAAATGCTTGAAGACTTTGATTAATGGAGTGAAATCATAGAATTATTATAAGGAGGGTAATTAGATACAGAAATGAAGTAACTGCAGGAACTTTCTGATTTCACAAACGAAATGATATCAGGTAATTATTTATATTAAAAAGTTAGCAAATCCAAATGATTTGATGGAAGATCAACAATACGATGAATAATTAGAATAATTGGACGAGCAATTACAAACAATCCAAAATGAATACAATGGTCCTCAAAGAAAATTCTTATTTGAATAAAGCAGACAAATTTCAGACTAAATCAGAAGAGTGATTGAATCAAGTATTATATAATATTAATGATCTAATAGGATCCTTCGAATAAAAGAGATCATAATTGGCTATGTTATATGGATTGATTGAGTATCTCCTGAAACAAATTTCTAGAGTCCAAAACCAATATTAATAAACCTCATAACCTCAACCAAGATCCCAACCCTAATAAGTTCAACCATCACCACAATAGAGGATAAAAGAATAAAAGGAAAGATTTGTAATCTAAAAAGATAAATGTGGTGACAGATCGCAATTAAGAAAAGTGTCTAAATAAAGAGTAGTCCCAGGAAATTATAGATAAAATGCTCATCCAGTACCTGAAGAAGCAGGCTGTGACATTCCATTCCCACAATAAAGATAACCAAAATGCGTTGTTGGATCAGATATCATATTGACAAGTTCTATCTCTGCTGATTAACCAACAGTTGAAACAGAAGTTAAAAAATTGAAGGATGTTAACGAATATGGTTTTGGTTTTTGGATGAGATTCTTAACATTGTATCCAGAATAATTGTAAACTGGTTTAACCGACTAATCTTACTTTGTTGCTAAATTGACAAAGAATCAATAGGATGGAGATGATAAGATTGGTGATAGATTGTTGACCATATTCTAAACTTAAGAACAATACATTTTCAGCGCTCAACATGACAAACCTGAAAGAAAAGAAGCCACAGCTGCTATAGTTTTTGGAGATATTGAAGCTGTCTGGACATACGTTTATTACAGTTACTCAGCCTTTGAATAATAAGCTATTGGTTTCTATAAACAATCAAACAGTCAATTAGTTAAATAAGTGACATTACCAGCATCTTAAGGAACTCCTTAATATTTGAGATTTGTTTTGGGAGGTCAATATTTCGATTTCCCAGGATTCAATGGATAGGTCAGCAGACCAGTCTTAGCAATTGGATTTGGAACATATTTAATTAATGAATAGGAATTCTTGTAATATGCTATTTCATGCAATCCTCAACCATATGTTGCACCATAAAAATTGATTCCATATTAATTTGTAAGAGATTCCAAATATGTTGATATTGAAGATAACAATGCACCACCCACCTAAGAATTTATTGACTTATTGTTACCAGACGAATATGCAGTTTAAGGTTGGTTCAAATGGGAAGAAACAGATTTGTAAGAGAACTGGCACACCATGTTTAGATTATCAAATACACCCATAAGAAAATAATAAATCTTATTAGGTGAAAGAGTCTTGGCTGCTTGGTTAGGCAAACCAAAAGGAGGTTAAATCCATTTCTCAACATATTCATATGCTAATATGAAAGGATCAGGTAATCCCAATGCTCATCAATATGTCCAACATTAAGATCAACATTTACACTGGCATTTCGTTTACTTTGGATACAGCAGAGATTAAAGAAAGGCATATGCTTAAGTCTTATTCAAACATGTTCATGCCAAATCTTTGAGTTTCGTCAATGTCAACCACTTTGTGTCACCAAAGCATTATTTCTACTTTGGAAGAGAAAGACAATTCCCAGTCTACAGTGGATTTATGGCCTACCTTGAAGTTTTCTTCTGCAAAGGATCTTACTTAACAAATGTTAAGCCAGCTTTGAGACCAGTTCCAACACCACCTCCCCCCAAAAAGAGATGTGTTGAAGGACCAAACAGAATCATCAATGCTAAATATGATAAAGGTCCAGTCGTTCATGTTGAATTACACAAAGATGATTTGAAAGACACTACTTAATATGGTTATGGATTCTGGTTCAGATATACTGGATTGGCAGGTGGATAATATGAAGGTGCAAGACCAGATTGGTCATTGATTGCCAGACTTACAAACAAGAAGGAAACACCAAAAGATATTAGAGATGGTTTATTAACTATTTTCTAAGGAAAAGTTGGTTTCTTCTACATCACAGCTAATAACAAGGCTAAGAAATTAGTTGAATTAGCTTAACCATTTGGAGACATTGAAGGAGTTTGGATCTACACTTATTTCAGTTACACTAGATATAAGGCTATTGCATTCTATTAAATTGAGAATTAAGCTCCCATCACCTTAGAAGCTAAAGTTACACATCCAAGAATGGAATAATTGTTATTCTAAGTTGGTGGAAAGGATCCATAAGACAGATACTATTCATTCAATGGTTAATTCCATAGACCAGTCTTAAGATTGGGATCAGGATCATTCTTCGATACATTAGAAGAATACACTCCATTCTGTTTAAGTTGCAATCCTCAACCTTAAAAGGATTGTTCAAGCAAAGGTTTGATTAGAGCAGTCTCAGCCAAGGCTTCATAATTCAATGGAAATCCAGTTAATTCTGGTGACAGATTTGGAACAACTGAATAATACTCTGTTTAAGGATGGTTCAAATGGAATGGTAAGACCTCTGGAAAAGATTAATTGTTGTTCAGATTGACATCTACTCTAGCTGGTGAAGATGCTCTCAATTTCGATACACTCAGTTGTTACTTCGATACTAGAGATTAAACCCTCAATTTCTACACATATACATACACTGATCAATTAGGGTAATTAATATATATATTAAATATTAGATCTGGAAACCCAGAAGTTAGGTAGATTGTTGAAGGAAAGACCTTTGTTAAGGATTGGTTCCATATTTACTTCGCTTATTCTAGAAAGAGTAGATAAGCCGATGTCATCGTTGAACACTCATAAGGAAAAGGAGCTTTATCATTCAAGAATGTCAATCATTATGTAGCTCCATCACTTATTCTTTACTATGGAAAAGATTAATTGACAGATGCTTTCTAAGGATTCATTCAAGGATTGAATTTGTTCGCTTGTGACATTACTTATCAACCAACTCCTAAGCCAGTAGAAGATTGCACACCAATGAAAGAGTAATAGATTCTTTTATTTTAATAGTCCAATCTGTTTAGCTGGAGATTAATATGAAAATGTTTCATTGACCAATATTGACAATGTTGTTCAAGAATTAGAGAAAAGAAAGTAATTGATGTAAGATAAATAATTTGTTTTGCCAACTACTTAATGCTTCTGTTTCCCATAACAAGGAAAGAAAGTCATTCCACAAAGGTAAGAAGGTTTCCTTGAAATTTATGATGATGATGAAGAACCTTAATAATAAGATGCAGTTGAAATATGAGTGTGTCATTGATATCATAATAAAATCATTATCAATCAAAAACTATTAATGAAATTTATTCGTTCTTTTATTCTTAATTACAAGCTTAATTCTTATCCTCTTAAATTTATTGTTGTAATTAATTTTATGAAGACCTCTCTTCATAAATAATTTACTATAAATTATCATTTTTCTAAACTAATCCACAATCTTCATTATCTTCCTAGTTTTAATTCACACCCCCATCCTAAATGCTATTATTATGAACAACAACATCCTATTATCCATTTTTTAAAACTTAGCTATTAATTAGTTGTTCTTAAGGAAAATCATTTTTAAATTGATATAATTGTTAAAAATCATCTCCTGCTTCTTTATAGACATCATTTATTATAAATTAATTCATTAATACATCCTCTTATTCATATTCATTTTATTACAATTAACAAAACTATACTTGTTAATTTTTTTATTTCATTAATTATTTAAGTGACAATTATTATTATTGTTATTATTATTATTATTATTATTATTATTATTATTATTATTATTATTATTACTAGGATAATTAAGATTTGTTTAACTCCTATGAATACATTTAAGGAAATTCATCCAAATATTTATTTTATTACACTCCAGTTTTATTCTATCTAAGATTCTCATCTTTATCATTATTAATAATCAATTAAAAACAATCGGAACTTTCCTTAAAATATTCAGGAATAGTAGGAAGTACTTTATCGGTCCCCTAATTAATTTATTATGTTTGTTTTGAAACAAATTGCCTCTCTGTGTTTGTTAATTATTACTAAGAATTATAATGAGACTAATCATCATAATTTTAATAATCAAATGAATATTAATTTTATTATTATTTTGAAGATGAAAATTATGGAAACTCTTATGAAATATCACTTTCATCAGATTGTTATTATTATTAACCATTTTACTTTTCTTAAGAATGCTAAAAACTACTTATAATTCCTCTTTCCTATTTCAAATCGTAACTACTCATTCTTTAGTTCGATGAATAGCGCTATTTATCATCCTCGCCAAATTGCATGGCCTTTAAGTTATTGTCTTCTTCACTAAATTACTTGATTTTGTCATGAAATGAATTTTAATTTTAGTTGTTATCACGATCACTTAAATTTTCCTCATTTGAATTACAGATTTCATTATTATAAAGACCTTGTATATTTTAATTATTTCTTTGAAAATCATCAATGTCATTAAACAATTTTAATTTTTACATTTAATCCTAATGAACCTTAGATTTTAATTATTCCATTATTGTACTTTATTTGATAGCTTGCTAATCCTTTTTCTCCTTAATAGCTTCTAAGTATTTCTATTACTCTTCTTAAAATTATCGTAATTATAAATCTTACTTTACTTTATCTTTAATTTCTAATGTTAAATAATTATCAATATCAATTCTACACAGTGGGCATTATTTTACTTTTTAATTCATTAGTATATGATCAGCACATATTGAACAAGTGCACATATGTTTACATGGCAATAGGACAGTGTTTATCATATTGCAAAAGCATATTACGCATTCCTTATCCTCAACCGTGTTCGGATTCCATTCTGGATTAAAGGGAGTGTTTTTTACCCCATACAATTCGTGAATTTCATACATACGACTTTTGTAAACTATAATTTGCTTAGTGTTAATTAATTCACATCTAAAAGTCTATTCATTACAATCTATCCTATAAAAGTATATTAACTAAAAACTTTTAGATGTAAGACTTTTCTGTCTATATAAATATATGCGTTTACCATCTCAATTATTAGAGTGTGATGCGAAATTTCAGGAGTGGCCTTTATTCTGTTAAATTTTAGCAAATCTGTAATCATAAATTCAACGAATCTAGAAGGAAATTGATGATTCAAACCTTAGGGACATTTGAACTTCTAAATAATGCTCTCTTACATGGTTCTTTCAAATCTAAATAGTATTATTATAAACTAAACCTCTGTGATTTAGACCCCTTGATCTCTGTTATAAAGGTGTAGAATGATAATGAACAATTTACTTAGCTACTGTATGTTAAATCCACTTAGATTTTATCCACTGAATCATAGATTAACTCGACTTCGATTATTTACATGTTCAATTTAATAATTTCCACATTTCCTATTTTAGATTGCTTAATCAAAATATTTGGAGAATCTTAGACTTAACTCTGTGCAACTAGAAATTTTATTATTTTCTTTTACTTTCATCTAAATTTCTCTAAATTACTTCTTAATTCTTGATAAAATTTCCCATAATAAATTTTATGTAATAAACAAATTATACTCTATTAGAATTCATGCTCCAAGAATAACCTATATAGGAATAAGATCCAAATAAATGTATTCTTAAAGAAACTGCTGAATTTTAATAATTCAACCCTTTAGGATTTTCATTATTTTTAGAAGCCAATTGTTAGTAAGAAGTAATTGCCAAGTAACTTTTTGCTCAAATTTTGAAAATGATTGAAGATAAATTGTTAGAATTAGAATAAAGATTAGACAATAGAGAAGAAATCAAACAGATAAATACTCAATTAATCCAATTCAAACCGCCAGACTAATAGTATACCTAAAAATAAAATGATGATACATAATCCGAGTAAATCAAATAAAGTATCAAAGTTCTTTATCTAGGAAAATTCAGTCAATAATCTGATATAGACATTTATTCTCCTGAAGCAGTGCAACAGTAAGATACACAATAGATAAAATCACAAAAACCTTTAAGATCTCGCTCTTAAATTGGTAGGACTAATACTGAATTAATGAGATCTGAATCTAAGACTAAATCTAATGAAGAAGGATTATTGTAGAAAATTGAATAATTTGATAAAAAGTTAAAAGTATTGACAGAACAAGTGAGCAAAATGTCATAAAAAGAAACTTAGTTTTCAAAAAAAATTGAATAATAAATAAATGTTCAACTAAAAGATAGTTAAGACAGGCTAGTTTAAAATGAAAAGTTATTTAAGCAAGTGCATTCGACTAATTAAGAGATAACTGAAAATTAAAGAGGGTTTTTATCTCATTTATAATAAGTGCGTTAGGAAATTAAGTAAATGTACAATTTTAGAAAATAGCTATTTTTCTTAAGAATTAACTCGAATTAGCGATGAGAATAAAATAACTGTTATGCAATAAGAGTAAAATTATTTGGAGCTATAGAAATAAATTGGGGAATAAAAAAATGAATTAATTTTACAAAAATCATTTTTAGAATCTATTGATAATGATTTTTTGATGATCTTAAAGAAATTTAAGGATTTGTAGAATGACCTTGCTAAAAAAAAATTCAATTCTAGTTAGTTATAAAAGAGGCTTCTTTAATGATTTTAAAAAATAAATTATTATAAGAAATTACTTTTTTAAAAATGAAATATAGTAATTATCTTTATATTTCTAAATAAATGTTTCCCCACATTTATAGTACTAATAGCTATATTTTAAGTAGATATTAAAAGAACTTGTTGTTTGATGATGGAATTATATAATTACTCAAATAAATGGTAAATTTACAATTAGGAAAAGTTATTTCAAGAATAATATAATTAGTATAAATATTTATATCATTTATTAAAAATTGGATTATTTTTAATTAAAAAAACCCAATTATTGCATATTTATAATTAATTTGAATTTATTATAAATTTATAGAATTCGTTAAAATCAATCAAGAATTATAAAAACAACAAGAAAAATTAATTTTTACTGTCAAAATAAAGTGATCACAAATTAAAATCTAGTAATTTGATTAAGAGACATTGAATCATGAAGTATTTTTGAAAAATAAAATTACGAATGCTCATAATCTAAATTAATTTTTTAGTTGTTTTTAATACACTGTTTAAATTCTGGAGTTAAAAAAGATTAAATTTTAAACATCATAAATACTAGAAATTTTTAGTCAAAAATATTGTCATTTTGTTTGTTGATTATTTCTAAAAATCAAAGGATCTAATAGTTTATAAAAATGATTATTGAATGATTTACAAGTATATTCTAGTCTTGAATTGAATTAATTATTAAATAATTTTATGTAAAGGGTGAAAAGAGATGAATAAGCTAAAGAGATGATAAATGTACTCCTTGCCGAAGATGCTCCCATCTAAAGTCTCAATAGAAATCTATTTATTAGGAATAGCTTTAATTGATTTATTGCAATTATGTAATTATCAAGTAGTGGCGTGTGAAACAGGTATTTAAGCAAGGGATGAACTGCTGAAAACAGAAAATGAGTTTGATCTGATTTTGCTTGATTTGGGTTTGCCTGAGATGACGGGCCTGGAACTTTTGTAAATTATAAAAGCGTAAGTCTTTATTTGAGCTTCAAGTATTGATAAATTGAAAGATGTTCCAGTGATAATGATGAGTGGTGATGATGAGACAGAAACAGTTGCTGCTTGTTTAAATGCAGGAGCAGAAGATTATATGGTAAAACCTGTCAATTTTAAAAAACTTCAAGGACTTTAAACATTCGTAAAAAAAAAGCCTAAGCCAAGAAATGTATGACACTATATCAATTTTAATTAGAGCAACTAAAACGAGAAAGGGTATTACACAATTGTGAGAAATATCGGCAAAGGTGCTTCTGGTTCTGTCGAATTAGTAAGAAAAAGTACTGATTAAGAATTATATGCCATGAAAGTAAGAATATAAATCAACATAGGTAATTCCAACATTTTTCATGAATGAATAAGAAAGGAAAAATGCTGAAAATGAAGTGAGTTTATTACGAGTACTAACTGCTCCAACAATTATTAAATATTATGAAAGTTTCACTGAAAATGAGTCTTTGAATATAATAATGGAATATGCAGAAGGAGGGTCTTTGACTGAGAAAATATCTGAATATCAGAGATATGGCACTTAGGTTCCAAAGGATTAAATTTTAGCTTGGATGGCATAATTGGTCATTGCAATTCATTTTATGCATTCTAAAAACATCCTTCATAGAGATATCAAAACTTAAAATATGTTTCTGAATAAAGGTTTAAATTTAATAATATTTTTTAATAGAGTCAGTTATCAAATTAGGAGATTTTGGAATTTCAAAAGCATTAGGAACTCATGCCAATTTTGCATAAACATTTTTAGGAACTCCATATTTTATGTCACCTGAAGTCATCAGAGGGTAACCTTACGGCAAAAAATCTGATATTTGGGCACTAGGATGTGCTTTATATGAATTGGTTATGTTGAAACGACCTTTTTAACATGATAACATCCAAATTATTTTTGAGATGATATAGAATAAGCCTTACGATATGGACTAATCTGTTGATTAAGATCTTTAATTACTAATTGAGAAGACATTATAGAAAGACCCTAATAACAGGCCAACCGTTGAAGACTTAGCAGCTATTCCGTGTATTGAGGAAAAAATTAATTAGTTTTATAAGGACCATCCAAATGAAAGTACTAAATTTTAAATTATTCTTAGCCAATTTAATATCAGTCAAACGATTGCAATTGGGCCCTTAATTATAACCTGAAACGACTGAATAAGTATAGGATGAAAATTATATTGCTATTTCAGCAGATATGATAGAGAAAATATAATTAAGAAAAGTGATCTATGGATTCGTTAATTAAATGTAGAATATTTATTTAGTAAACTTAGTGAATATATTGGTGTATTAGGTCAGGATATTTTAAGTTATCTTCAAACCACTTGCAAGAATTAATTAGAAATCTAATAGATAGGTTAACACTTACTGGAATCTTAATTAATAATACCATTAGAATCACAAAAAGATTTAACTCCTAATCAATATTATTCTTTTCCAATTTTCTTATAATTTATAGCTGCTAACAATTATTAAAAATATACAGGAAATTCTACAGATCTCATGGAAATTTTAGACAAATTATTTAAAAAATTTAAAGAATTTCAAAAGAAATTTGTTGATAAAAATACAATCAAAGAAGAAATTCTAGAATAAGGATTTAAGGAGTATTTTTAATTGACTCATTAAACAACCGAATTATAAAAATCAACTATGATTGATTATTCATAAGAAAAGAAATTAGCAGCTTATGTTAATATTTTCTAATTAATGAGATTTCATCAGTAATAATATATATATATTAAAACCAATAGATCGTTAACTGAATATTTTGTTAATAAGCTCTAGAAGAAAGGAGTCAAAGAAGAACCTAAGTCCATACTAAAAACCATTATTGGTTCTATCTTACCACCACATCCAAAAAAAGTAGATTTCGCATATTCTATAAACAAACTAATAACTACTCTACCCTAAATTAAACATGGAATGTTGAGAAAAAATAAACCTGCTCCGAATTTTCATTAATTACCTAATAGCGACCCTAGAATCCTTACTCTTGATACAAGAGGATTGATATTCATTTTTACTGAAGAATACTAAGATAATTCTGTTGGCTTGACTTGTGAGCTGCAATACTTAGATGAAAAGAATGTTTAATAATACATCCAATATTATATAAAACAATTTATACTCAAGTATGTCTGTCTTGATGTTATTGAATAAGAAATTATTATCCATCCATTATGTTAAAGTATTGATTATTAATTAATTGTTAGCTTACCTTAGTGATTTCGGATCAGAAAAATAGTTGTTTTAATGGTTACTAGAGAGGATGGATGATGGATACAATAAAGAAAAACTCTTAAATTAATATGACTAACAGGATTTCTATATAAGATTCAAGAATCCGAATGATTCGGCAAAGTAACTTAAAAATTGAATCGATTAAAAATTAAAATAAATATTTACACTACACATTTTAGTTTACTTGAATTTCAACATGTTGCTAACTCAAATTTCTAAATAATCTCAATATATTAAATCTCAATTGAAATTATAAATTAATTTAATTGCTATATACAGAAATTTTATATGAATAAAAACATCACAATTTTAAAAATGAAGCATGAATGAAGTTATTCCTATATATGATGCTCAATCTACGTCCAGCTTCATAGGGATTCAATATTAATAATTATCTAATGTATGGAATCTTTAATTCGACCTAGTTCACATCCAATTTCCTAGATATAGAGTTAGTTTTGCTGAAGATTCTAATTCGAAATACTTCATTGTATAAATATATAGCTATGAAGAGCATCTTATGCTTCATAAATGCTCCTTTATAAAGTAATTAATATTTGATATACTCTGAGTCGTTATTTTTATTAACCTTCATGATTTCTTAATTGCTTGGTATTTCTTGCTTACTTTGGTAGTTCAAGTACAAAGAACTGGCTAACTTATAGACCTGAACTTGTTTGCCTCTTATATTTAAAGGCACATCAATAGTTTTGCAAGTGTCATAGGAATGGATTCGTAATCTAATTGGTTACCATCTAAAAGATTATTAGACCTCATGGCATGGTATATAACAAAGAAAGTTGCATGTTCTATCATTGAAATACACTAGTTCAGATAAAACTGTCTTAAAAGTGTCCAACACAATCTGATTTTAGTTGATGTTCATCTACTTGATTATTTCCATCCATAATTTATTCTCAAATACACTATTGGACTTTCGTAATAACAATTTATCAAATAACCAACATGACTTATTTTATTTATCTTCATTGAGTTCTTCGAGCAATTGATTAAGTTGTAGTGTTGATTATCTCTAAATGACACTAGCACTTGAGAAATTAGATGTAGCAGATCTTTTAAGTAGTTTTTTGGTTTGTGACATTTATTGAAGATAGAGTTAGGTTCTATTTCTAAATGTTTCAGGAGCTTTTTTAATTAGAGAATAGATCTTTTAGATTTCATTCAATTTCCAAGGTCTGAAGAATTATTCAACAACTTCATGTGGTTATTCTGGGAAGATAGAATCTAAAAAATATTAGTTCATAATTAAGAAATCTGATCTGTGAATTGTAAAGTAAAATCTTCTGCAAGTATTTTGGTTGTAGAGATAAATCTAAAAGTAGTTTTTGATTAAAGTAACTGTTATTATAAAATAGGTTTTATCAATTTTTTTAACTTATTTATAAACCACTCTTGAATATGATTTTTAACCGATCAACACATTGTTATCATGGTATTAATTTGATAAGAGGTATTGCTTACGTATTTGGTTTTTTGTAATAGGCATGAGTTCTAATTTGGAATAAGTCTAGGTTGTTTTTAGAATAAATTATTTACATAAAGTATAGATCAATTTAATAGGATCTTACTAATCAATTTAAAATATAAAGAGATGAGATTTGCTCTTGTTTCCAGCTGGCATTATTCTCATTAACATTATATTAGAATGAATCTTTGCACACACAAACACACATCCAATGGATTTAATTTTTGTTTAAATAAAATACTGTTTTGCTTAAGTGAGTTTATCTTACATCAATAGGAATCTTGGATCTTTGGATTAAGAAACCCGATTTTCATTTTAATACAACTTAAAGCCGACTAAAGTCTTTTTTAATTTAGTTTTATAATTTAAAATATGACAACGCATTGATCCATCGATCTGAAATAGATGCGCCCATTTTTCTGTCTATTCGGAATTAAGTTTAAGGGATATTTTCTTATGATTGTTATAGTAAATTAATAGATGAGCCTTCGATTGAGCATTTCTAATATCTTAATGCAATTTTTTAATATCTGATAGGATACGCAATTTCACTCCAATTGGTTTGTAAATGAATTATTGCTATCTAATTAGAAATACTGAATTGTAATGAGGAAATAATGTGATATCTTTAGCATTAATTGTTTATTCGTTGGTTCTAGAAATGTGCTTGTTCATATCTTCATGGGATAATATTAATCTAAAAGGGAATTTAGGTTTTCTAGGCTATTCAGGGTCTTGCAACATAAACTTTCCATTTGAATTTTTTAATAAATAACAACTGGGCAAATAATTCAAGTATTCCACATAGTTGTTATTTAAGATTCCAAGTATAAACACAATATCAATGAGTGGTTCTCTTTTTTGTTCTTCAATCAATTCAACACCGTCTTCTTATTGACTAATACTTTCCTATGAAATTTCTTTAAGTCCTTCCTCGATGAACTCCATTGATTGAATAACTTGATACAGTCTTTTATTTACTCTGAGGATTTTATTTAATTTTTTTTGATATGAATTATCAGTCTCATCCTATTTTATTTAAATCCTACAATTAACGATTTGGAGCTTCGCTTATAAAATATTTTATAATTCTATTAAGTCTATAATGTATCCAGTTCTTCCGACATTGTAATTGATTAATTCTTTCAGTTAGATTTCTAATTAGTCTTCCCATAGATCCTTCCCAAAAACTTGTTTTAATTATAATTTGTCAGTTAAGGTGAGATAATAAAATTGCTAATCAATTTTAACGACTTATGTCAGAATTAAATAATTCTCTAAATGAATTGGCTTGTATTCCAATTTAACATATTTCTTACTTGGCATTTCCTATCTAAAACGATATTGAGATTCTGTTTATAATTTCTTAATGTTTGGAGCTGGAGCAGGATGGTAGTCGACAGGAGGAGTGTTAAGTTTGAATTCTGGAAAGTACCTTAACAAGTAATCTTAGGTTTCTAAAGTAAATATGTCTATCAATTAAGGAGGTGCCTCTTAATGAGCAATGTTCTTCCAGTTTGATTTGACTGGTTGCTTCAATTATGGTTGAATGATTGGAGTTTCTCCTCCCAATATTAATTATCGAGATTATAATTCATTCCCTATGATGATGCCAGTATCTTTTAAGGAGATATAGGGACTGCCTCTTTATGAATGTGGTTGAGATTCATCATCCTAAGCAGGAGACGTTGCTTCTCTTATTATTGTTTGCTTCCTCTCCTGAGCAATAAATAGATGCCTATCTTTATTCCTTTTGCGATGTCTCTTTTAACTCAAAATTGGCTTACTTCTCTAATTTTAAATTTCGTAGTCTAAATATTGAAAATAGTTGCTAATCCTTTCTAACTTTTTCTAATAAATCTAATTGTTATATTGTTAAATGGAGACTTGATGATTCTAGGGAACTGACTTAAATTTATAGCCATTCATTGTTTTAATGTAACTCTTTCTTTTGATCAAAAACAGAACCTTCGACAAAAGATATTAATAGAATTGCATATTATCTTATAGCTCAATTCTTCGTTCTTTTGTAAACTCAATATTGATGCTTTACCTCTTTTGACCTGCCTAAGAAACCCTACCCTTACTCACTCTGTAAAGTGTTTACTCTTTCCGGTGGTCCAACCATTCACTGAACAAATCTTCTTGCATCAAGTATATGTTCAATAATTGATCAAATAGATCCATCATGTCATCGTAAGTTTGTATATCCTTATAATGCTCTACTAGTGTATCTATTATAAATCGAAATTGAATTTTTCTGGTATGATTAGAGATTTCAATGGATCCGATGACTTGGAGGGTTGACTGTCTTGACAGATTAAAGAGAATATTTTATATCTATTCAAGATTAATTTAATGGCAATCATCATTTTTTGATGATTTATGTAAGAATTACCCCCTTATTCTGGGATTTTCAAGAGTCCATTTAGATGTTTCGAAATCTGTGAATAATTTATCATAGAAATGGACAGGATACCATTCCATAGTATTCGCTGATTAGAAAAACTTATATATGATTTTACTAGCTTCATTTTCAAGGAGTTTTTTTTCAACAATATCGATTAGAGTATTGGATCTATTTAGTTGTTACTGTTTATTGCTCATGATGACTCTACTGGGAGAATGTTAGTGTTTTCGTTCTAGCATTTCTATTTTCCTATTATGAGAGTGTTAAACATATTTTTTTAGTTTACCTTTAATCTTCTCAACAGCTTCTAACAATTTATCCATAGAATGAGTTTCTAAATATTTCGCTATAATTGAATCATGTGGAGAAATTACTTTAATAGGTTCTTCCTTTTCAAATGATAAATTTTTGTTCTCCTCTTACTTAGTGACATCTTCATCGTTGTCATTGGTTAAATTTTTAGTACTTCCAATGGGTTTGATATTTAAGATGGTTGGTTAGATTTCAGGAGCTAGGATTTTTTTTTATGAAGGTCTTTCGATTTTTTGAGTGCTGGGAGTATTTGAGATTTTCTTAATATCTACTTTAGAAATAATGTTGTTTTTGGAGGGTTCTCTAATTTAGGGTCTAGTTGGGATGGAAAGTTAGATTTAGTATGTGGATGTGGTTTGTCTGGAAGTGTGTTATTTGAGGAATTCAATTCTTTTGTATGGTTTGACTTCATATTGGGGTCTGGTGATGAGCAATTCATTAGTTAGATTTGGAGGCAGGGTATCATCTAATTCCTTGATGGCACTCTATTCTAGAGAAGGCATCTTATGATGAAATCTTTCAGTGTTTTTTTTGGATAGAAACGAGACACCTCCTGTGGGACTAGTCAACTTAGTAGTGCCTTAAGAACTGGTAGGTCTTTTGGAATGATCCTTAATAATGAACAAGGATGACAAGGGTGTCGGTTTGATTAGAACAGTAGGTTTGTTGGTGGATGAGGAAGTGGTTAATTTATTTGATTTTTCTACTTTTTTGGAAGGTTTGGGAGCTCTAGCGGAATCTACATTGATAATATAATTGTTGAATGAGGTGATTTTTGGACGAAAGGATTTCAGAATTTCTTCTCGAGGTGTAACTTATAGTTGTTGGGGTTGCTCGTCTTCGTATTCGTCTTGACTCTATATTTCGATGTTTACGGATATCTTGTCACTCAATTATTCGTATAGCTTTTTATATTCTTGAGTTCTCTTCTCATGAATTCCAAGCAACTATTCTGAGAGATGAAACGATTGAAAATATAACTATGCTGCTTCTCTGTCTTTATTTTGTTTATGATATATTTTGGCTTAGAATGAGAGTGCTTGTAATAGAATTAATTAAAACTTCTCTGAGAATTGTTTTTAAAGGTAAAATGTCAATCCGATCTCTTCCATCAGATTCAACAATTTCTCATTCAAGGACACAACATTTGCTATTTTGCAAAGTCGGCCGTTCTCTATTATATGATTCAGGATTTAGATTTATGTCATGATGATGGTTTTTTAATTTGTTTTTTGCAAGGGGAGCAATTGGATTAGTAGATTGTAGGCTTACTTATTATTGTGATAACGCTCAAAATACTCTGCATATAACATGTAAGTGAAGTATTTCACATTCAGTAATTCCTCCGTTTGCAATCCAGCTGCCAATTCAATCGCTCTTTAAAAGTATTTCTCCCCTGGCTAATTCTGTTTTATTTAATATTGACCTGTTTGATTGAGTGTCTCTATGAGAGTCACACAGGCTTGAATTGTTTTTGGAGCATGTTAACCTAACTCAGACAGAGCATCCAAATAAGAACGCTCAAGTTGAAGGAGGGACATCTTCATTAATATTTTATTATAAAAATTTCAATGATTAATCTTTTCCATTATTTTATCAGCCTCTGAAGGATAGTACTTATGAATAGCTTTTTCCACCAAATGCAAAGGCAACCAACTAGCAAACACTAGCAATCCCACATTCATAACAAAATTGACTGTAATTTCACTCAAATTGATGACCTCACGCATAAAGTATATGCAACACAAATATAAACTAATTGAGATGAACTAACTAACCAAAGTAATGAATTTGAAAGTCTTGAGCTCAGTAATTACATTCAGTAATTCTATCACTATCAGAGCTGTAAAAGNTATCATCTAATTCCTTGATGGCACTCTATTCTAGAGAAGGCATCTTATGATGAAATCTTTCAGTGTTTTTTTTGGATAGAAACGAGACACCTCCTGTGGGACTAGTCAACTTAGTAGTGCCTTAAGAACTGGTAGGTCTTTTGGAATGATCCTTAATAATGAACAAGGATGACAAGGGTGTCGGTTTGATTAGAACAGTAGGTTTGTTGGTGGATGAGGAAGTGGTTAATTTATTTGATTTTTCTACTTTTTTGGAAGGTTTGGGAGCTCTAGCGGAATCTACATTGATAATATAATTGTTGAATGAGGTGATTTTTGGACGAAAGGATTTCAGAATTTCTTCTCGAGGTGTAACTTATAGTTGTTGGGGTTGCTCGTCTTCGTATTCGTCTTGACTCTATATTTCGATGTTTACGGATATCTTGTCACTCAATTATTCGTATAGCTTTTTATATTCTTGAGTTCTCTTCTCATGAATTCCAAGCAACTATTCTGAGAGATGAAACGATTGAAAATATAACTATGCTGCTTCTCTGTCTTTATTTTGTTTATGATATATTTTGGCTTAGAATGAGAGTGCTTGTAATAGAATTAATTAAAACTTCTCTGAGAATTGTTTTTAAAGGTAAAATGTCAATCCGATCTCTTCCATCAGATTCAACAATTTCTCATTCAAGGACACAACATTTGCTATTTTGCAAAGTCGGCCGTTCTCTATTATATGATTCAGGATTTAGATTTATGTCATGATGATGGTTTTTTAATTTGTTTTTTGCAAGGGGAGCAATTGGATTAGTAGATTGTAGGCTTACTTATTATTGTGATAACGCTCAAAATACTCTGCATATAACATGTAAGTGAAGTATTTCACATTCAGTAATTCCTCCGTTTGCAATCCAGCTGCCAATTCAATCGCTCTTTAAAAGTATTTCTCCCCTGGCTAATTCTGTTTTATTTAATATTGACCTGTTTGATTGAGTGTCTCTATGAGAGTCACACAGGCTTGAATTGTTTTTGGAGCATGTTAACCTAACTCAGACAGAGCATCCAAATAAGAACGCTCAAGTTGAAGGAGGGACATCTTCATTAATATTTTATTATAAAAATTTCAATGATTAATCTTTTCCATTATTTTATCAGCCTCTGAAGGATAGTACTTATGAATAGCTTTTTCCACCAAATGCAAAGGCAACCAACTAGCAAACACTAGCAATCCCACATTCATAACAAAATTGACTGTAATTTCACTCAAATTGATGACCTCACGCATAAAGTATATGCAACACAAATATAAACTAATTGAGATGAACTAACTAACCAAAGTAATGAATTTGAAAGTCTTGAGCTCAGTAATTACATTCAGTAATTCTATCACTATCAGAGCTGTAAAAGTGACTGTTACAAGTTACAAAAAAGTGTTCTAAAAGCACAAGAAGGATAAAGCCATAATCACAGTGCCTTGATAGATACTCTTCCATAACCAAATCAAGAAGGTCTTGGTCGTTACTTCCCTTCCTTTCTGCAAAGATTTGTAGAGTTCAGCAAATTCTAAAGCTTTGTTCTTGGTGATGTCTTCATCAAAGATCAAAGAGAACACTGGTAACACTGTGAATACAGTTGCATATCCAAGCATCAAATAGCCATTGTATATCGGTATAGCAATTCCATAAAATAGGAAACTAAAGATCGCCTGGATTATAGAGATCACTAATCCTCTATGCATAACAAACTAAGCCATTACAGAAGATCTCTTATAAGCCAGTCTTCCATGCCACAACAAAAGAGTGGACAAGTCCTTAAATTTCACTATCGAAAAATCGCTGGCTAAGGCTGCCTATTTGCCTTCCTTCCCAACTATTCCAATCCCCACATCTGCTGCCTATATCATAGATACATCGTTTCCTCCATCCCCTATGGCCAAAGTAACCTAATTTGTGTTTTTCTTGATTGCCTCCACAACCTAAGCTTTTTAAGTTGGTGAGCATCTACAACATATTACACAAGGTGCTCTGCTAGTTACATACATAAACTAATCGAAATGATCATTAAAGGCAAGAGTCAATGAAACTCCATCGATAACCAAGATTGAATTGTGTTTGGCTGAAAATTAATTCAAAAGATTCTGAAGATTTAAAGAATCAGCCTCTTTGATAGTAAACATCTCTTATTGTGGAGTTTTCAGTCCAGCAGATATGGCTATACATTAGGCTGTTTCTACTTTATCTCCAGTCAACATCCAAATCTTAATACCTGCATTCCTTAGTTAATCAATACAGTGATTAATGTCTTCTTACAGCAAATCTTCCACTCCAGATATCCCTAGAAATTCCATTCCTTATTCCAATTACTCCAAAGCATGGTTAACTTTGATTTCTCTATCGTCCATAGATGACTTTGCCTCCTCATATTCAACTTACCATTTCTTAAACTCCTCAGATGTTATATATTTCTAAGTCATAACCAAAGTACGTAAACCCTCTCTGCTAAGCATTTCTGCCTCGTCCATTAGGAACCCTCTCTAAACCTCCGGGACTTTATTCTTGATGATTTAATCAGCCCCTTTGAGATAAAAGAAGTATCCATCTATTGAATCCGATTGGACAATAATTCCCATTCGTTTTCTCTCACTGCTAAAAGGGAATTCGTACACAATTTTAAATGTCTCAACCTTATTGGGTGTTTAAATAACCATTTATTCAGCATTTCTCGAAATCAATTAAATACCCATTTGTTCACTGATCTAAACTAATGCTATTTCATCAGGACTGCTGGCCTAAAACGATCTGACTCCTTCTTCTATAATGGGAGTGACATTGTGACATAGAGACAAACACTAGATCAAGTCTCGAAGCACCACATCTTTATTCCTTCTCGAGTTTCTCTTTGTTTTCCCAGTAATTATGTCATGCAAAGGAACAGGATTAGCTGAAAATTACCTCTTCAATATTTTGTTGACAACATTCAAATCCTTGGTTGTATATGTATTACTTTCCAATGCTAATTTCTTGAAAGTCATGCAATTCTAGGTTAGAGTACCTGTTTTATCACTGAGTATGTAATGCACTCTTCCCAATTCCTCAGGAATCTAGGAATTCCTTGCCATAGCTCCAGCGATATCTTTATCCGAATTGATCTTCATTGAAAATACTAATTTAGAAAAGTCAAGATTGACTCTCAAGGAAATTGGTATTATGCTTGACAATAACAACACATATCTAAAGAATTATAATAAGTTAATTAAGACGTCATTATCAGGTGTGAGTATCAATATACCACCTGCTAATATACACATGAAACCAAACAATACTTTAGACAAAAAGTTTAACTCCTAATCCAATCTACCCATCTTCAATCTGCTCTTTCTTTAATTCATTGATGATCTGCACTCCCTACCCGTATAGATGACAACACATGTCACCTTCCCAGCTGCTACATATGTATTTGCCCATAATGTATTATCAATTGATACAGACTCTTTGTCCTCGTCCATTTTAATTCTGCCTTTAAAATCATAGATATCCAATTTAGGAGCCTCCACAATCAAAGTGCTGCCAAAATACTATCCCAATTAAGTTAATTTTAATGCGCTCCTCAATTTCCAATCTGTCTCTCCATCCAATTGATCCGTCCTAATGAATACTGTCCCTGTCTTTTCTGAAGTCCTCAACAACACACAATCAGCCGGCACTCTTTGATTTGCATGCACTTCTATTACATCTCCAACTCTTAATTAGGATGATTTAATTGAAATCACATCGTTCTATAAAACCTTACTATACAATTAGGAATTAGCTTCCCTGTCTCTTAGAAATCGTTTAAAATCATCATAAGCTTCTTTGATTAGAGTGAGAGTGAGGACCTTGAATAGAATCAATAATGCTTACAAACACAAGCGGAGCCACATAAGAAAAGAGGAATCCCACTTTCAAGGGTTCTATAAATTGAGATAGAGTGATTAGGAGGAAAAACAAATTAAAAAAGTACCTAAACTGATCAAATAGCACAATGGGAATGAAGGTGATGAAGCTATACTTTTGATTCTTGACTATATTTGGAATGGATTGAGGCTGTTTCTCTCCAGTGATTTCTATTATCCTTGCATCTTAACTAACTTTTTGTTTCCCAAAGATATCTATTGCCTTCAAAATTAGACTTCTGGTATCTGAATTGTATATATGGCATACCTATTTTCTCGTTGAGACTATCGCACTCCTACTCCAGTTTGCGATCCAGGAATTTGTCATCATCAACTCGCTCGACCATTTCTATTAGTAAATTAGTGGAATGTGCCTACTTAAACATTATTAATTTAGTAATATAAAAATTATCAACTGTCCACAAATGACAAGCTTAATCTCTAGTATCCTTTGCCCACAATATCCTCCTCCTCCTCTATGTCCTGCTTGTTATACATGTCCTTCGACTCAATCATCTCCTTCTCCTTTATTGTGGAGAGAAAGGGCAGCAATATCAAAATGTACACACTAGTCATTGTTATCATCATCCACAGATTCTCAAACGAGGCCTCGTTTATATCTATTATAAATTAACACTTATTCATACTCAAAAAGTACATCAGTATGCCTCCGATCTATCTGGCCACCAATTAACCTAAATTGATTGTGGACATCAATAATGCATACATGGTACCTTCTATTTTGGAGGGACATATCTTGCATGCCAGAACCAAAATAGGAAGCATGTTCAATTCAGCCACCAATTGCATTAGCAATGTATCACATAATGAAAATGCTTCATCTTTTATTCCCAACTCCACATTCCTTCTTGTCACCTATAAAATCTGTAAGGCATTTACAACACTGTACGTTAATGTCGTAACAAAGAACACAGATTTGAATGAATAGTTTTTTAAATATCTATTAAATATACTCACAGCTGTGATGTTTGCCAAAGCAAATAGAAACTTAATCTTACCCAAAAATTCAGCTGTATAATGCAAATACACTGTTTAAAAATAAAACATTGCTGTCGATGTTGATGGTTGCAACATAAAGCAAAATATAAACACAATTGGCTTGTATATAGCTTTGATGTTCAAAAAACGATGCAACTCTTGCAATTACTTCTTAATATCAGTATCTTTGTGCTAACCCTCATTTAAAAATAGAGAAGCTCCAGCAATTATCAAAGGAAATATTGATGTTATCCTAAAAACTACAATAGACACTCTCCTTACTTTATTGTTTCTGCAAGTATTTTAAGGAGTAACCACTAAGATAGCTAGTCATGAGGGTTCCAAAAGCCTTGAATCCAAAAAATAAACTGACATTGTTGGTTGAACTATCATTCCCAGTCGAGATCTCAACCAATAGAGCCTCTTTATTGAAGAATAGCAATACCTGCAACCACATTACAAAATGCTATACAAATCTGAATGCTCAACAAAATTGAGACCCCTGCAACTGCATCTTTAGTCCCATATATGGAGAGAGCATAAAATAAAACAAATCCCATTAGACCGAATATGAACAGATAGCTCTTTCTGCGATAACTGCAAATCGGAAGCAAGTCTGTACAGAGTCCCCATACAGGTTTTATTACCCAAGGTATGCTGATGATGCCTTATATATATGTCATTTCTGTGGGGTTCATTCCATAATCCTCTTTCAACAAGTATGATATGGCCAATTCAGAGAGATTTATTACTCCTTGAGAGAATGCCACCAAACATATAACAGCATACGTGGAGTGCGATTACTTGATCATATATATCAAATATTATATATTTTAATTTTGATAATAAAACGAATTTTAATCATAACCCTATTAGATTATACATTCTCTAATTTATTTCGCATTCCTCAGTTTCAACAGAATAGGGAAACATAAAATTTTGGATGTCTTCTAAGTAAATCTCAAGTAAAAGAAACATTTTTTTTCCTAATCCTTACAATTAAACAAGTCATCAATCTGTTATACACCACACAAAGACACAAGGTCAAATTAAAGGTATGTGAAATACCTTTAGAAAGTAATTTTTAAGTATTGAATTAAATGAGATCAATTAAATAAGTGCTGAAACAATAAAGCAGAGAAAAGTAATATAAATAATCTCATCTTTCAAGAGGTCAACTTTGAATGCAATAAACTGAAGCATACTCAAGATAAATAATATTACATTGAAAACAATCATAACGGTTTACACATCTAGGATTATATAAATTTATATTTTTTATTTATTTATTTATGTAAATGAATACCCCAAAATATTTTTTCTCACTTCTTCTTCTTCTTAGATGGATTAAAAGCAGACTGGCTGCCAGTGGCCTTTCAACCCTGGACTATCTAACCCTAAGATGTCACCTCAATCATCTCAGGATCTCTCTGACTTGTTAAAAATTCCATCTTTTGATTTAAAAATCATCAACAAATTAATCAAAATTTATTTTCCCTCTTATTTATTATCAATATTTCATTTTGTTTTGAACAATTATTGTTGCAATTCCAAGTATTTTACTATGTTCAAACTTCTATTATTTATCTTGAATTCGTTTAAAGAAAACAGTGAGATTAAGGATATTAAAATA